ATACACTATGGAAATCTTTCTAAACACTAATTTCTATCAATTCTTATATCAATTCTTATATCAATTCTTATATCTACGCCTCTCTCAACGCCTCTATCAACGCTTGCAAACACCAACACCATTCATCAACCCCCAACTCCCACCCATCGTTCTATCCCATCATCTCTCCATCAGTACGGTGCACCTCAATTTCATGCGGGGCAAATCCGGGGTAGGCGCTGAATGCACTGATAACGACATGGCACAACAAACAGCGGCCACTCATCCGGGCAATACATGCTATTTGCACAGGGAACACGCTATTTTATGTCTAATGCACTTTCAATTGATGCTGAAGAGATCATATCTACTCTTTCCTGCCCTAACCTGCCTTCTTATCTGTTAAATATACATGCTGCTCTTATATCCCATTCCCATTTTACATCTAAATCATGAATGAAATCATCATTGCTAATAACACCCCCCTCATCACACTCCACCCACTCATCCTCAACCCTTCACTCGGCTTCACCTCACCCGCTTCATCTTCCTCTCCTGTCGTACACTTCGTAGGCTTACACCGCCTTGTCGAGGTGAGTGTTATTCTCGATGTGACTGTAGATGTAGTCGTAGAAGTGCTAGTGTGCGTTGACGTCTTTGTGACCCACGTGTCTGTCGTCTGTAGAGACTGGCACTCTGTTGTCTTTGTGTCTTTAACGGTTGTTGTTGTTGTCGTTGTGGTTGTGGTTGTTGTTGTTACATTTTTAGTTGTTGCTTCGTATGGTTTTACTTCCAGTGGTTTCAATTTTTTACATGTGTTTTCTATTTTCTCACATTGATTTTCACAATCACATTCCTTTTTAAATCCACATCCTTTTAGTAAATCATGGCATATCTCTCTCAATTCTACGTAGAGTCCAAATGCTTGTGCAACCAAATCAAATGCTTTCGCTTCGTCTTCTGTTACTTTCATTGTTGCATCTCTTCTTACAAGTCTAAACAACTTCGTGTCTTTTGTTCCACTAGGTACGGCTGGTGCACTAGGCACAACATCGTTTTCCGATTTATTGTTTTCTGTCTTTACTTTTGATAAAACAAGATTCGCTTTTTCCATTGCATCTTTTGCTTTTTTTTTGATATCCTCATATTCGTTAGCTTTTTCCTCCAACTCTTTACTGGCCTCTATGAGTTCTTTTTTTAATTCAGGACATCGCTTCTTTACTCGTTTTACTAGTTTCTTGCAGAGTTCTTCTCTAACATCTTTATCTTCTTTACCAGCTTCTTTATCTGTGCACAAAGTGCTAAGATGATTAGTTGCATTCCTCCATTGTGTACAGTACGTGTCAAGAGTCTTTTTGCATTTTTCTTCTGTTTCTAAATTACCCCTTAATTCATAGGCTACTTTTTCTTCCAATTCCTTCCTTTCAATGAATGATTTACACTCCTTGTTAAGCTCCTTACATTTTCCATCACTAGCAGTTAGATTCTGACAACTTGACATAAACTTGGTACAATAGGGTGCCCATGAGTTGCAAGCTGACTCTTTTTTGCCATTATTCTTTGTTTGATCTACAACCTTACTTGCTTCGATGCGCGCTTCCAATGTAGTACACTTAGACCCTACGCTTTCTGTAAGAATCTTGCAAGTAATATTCTGTGCTACACATGCGAGAGCAAACTGCATTCTTCCTTTTCTACTCCATTCATGGCATTGTTTTTTTAGATTTTTTAAACATGAATCGAACTTGTCCAAATTTTCTGTTTTTTCCTCTAATAACTTCTCTTCCAATTGTCCTGCAATCTCCAGCCTATTGCAATGGTGCTCCAGAGTATGACAGGGCCATTCAAGTTCCTCAAAGTCTTGTTTTAGATCGTTGCACTTCTTTAGCAATTCCCTGCAATCCTGCTTCGTAGGAAAATCTCGTTTTTCATTCAAATTTTCCTGTAACAAGTTTGTCTTCATATCCAAATCATCTAATAATGTAATGACACCGTCTTTTGGTTTCACACATAATACAAATAATTCATCACTTGTTCCTTTTAAATTCACACACACATTTACTAACTCCTTTTGAAGTGTTTCAAGCCATGTATCATTTGTATAATGGAATTTCCCTCGCATTTTGTCTTGTAATGCTTGGTTTGCTATTGCATCAAGGCCTCTTTTATAACACGCTGCCTTAACATTCTTACATATTTTTCCAAAATCCGTTTGACCTTCAAAATAAAAACAATCTGACTGTAATCTTGTGCAGTCATTTTCAGTAAGGAGTCTTGGTAATTCACCCCATAACGTGATTTCATCTTCAAATAGTTTACTTTTAAGTTTTCTAGTAAGAATGTTTTTCTCTTTATCAAATTCCTCTTTAAACTTTTTACATTTAGCTAGATAATCGCTTTTATTTCCACATAAATCTTTTAGACCTTGCGTTAGATATTGAATAGAGTTACATTTACTATTGAGTACTTCCTTACATGGAGTTTCATCAAAAGGTTTACTCCCTGAGAGAAACACTAATATGTCAAGAATATCTCTTTCTGGTGCTCTTCTGATCAGAACTCCTTGTCTTGCCGTTTCCTTATAAAGTTCTTCCAGACTTATTTTTTCTGCCAGTGTAGCCTCTGGTCTTGTAGGATCAAAATCTGAACCTGGTCCTTTGTAGATAATCTTTTTTTTTTTAGCTTTATTTACGAGTTTTTCACATTCTGGTTTATCTGAATCTTTGCAATTTTGTCCATAAAAGTGGCATTGTTTAAGCAAAGAATGTCCTTTTTTTTCTAATTCGTTATTAGTAGTTAGTACTCTTCCTATTTCTGTTTTCAGAGAAGTACACTTTTTTTCTGCTAATGCTACTAGAGATGTGCATAAAGAGTCTGTATCAAAACATCTTTGCATCAACTCGTTACTTTCTTGACCCAATGTACGACAAACATCCTTAATTTTTTCTTTACATGTCTTTGCATCTTTAAGATCATCACTGAGTGCCCTTAAAAGAACTTTTTCTGCTACTTCATTTCGTTTCTTTTGATAACAGTTATTCCTTAATTTATTGCAATTCTCTGTAAGATCAGAGCATGCTCCCTCCAAAAATAGGCATTGTTGTTCATTCTCTTTACAATCTTTATCTGTCAAATCTGAAATTCCTTTTCCAGCTGCTGTTTGAAGATTTGTTTTAAATGTAGTGCATTTTTCCTTAACTTTGTTTTTTAATTTGGTACATTTTTCTTCTGCTTTCCCATTTTCACAAAAGCTTTTAAATTTTTTATGTATTTTTTCTTTATCCAAATTTTCAAATTCTTTGCAATATTCTTCTAGCTTAGTTTTGCATTTTTGAGTGTCGTCATAATCTTTTCCTGCAATTAAAGCAAAAAGATAATCCTCATCATCATATACACTAGTCCCTTGCGCTGCTGCAGCCCGCCGCTTAACCGCCCGCGCCACCGCCCGCGCCAAGCTGTGCCTGACGGGGGTGGGTTTGCGCTGTGGTGTGTGGCTGAGTTTGGGTTTCCGTTAGCGTATTTTGATTGGACGTGAGATGTTAGAGCCATGTCTTCAAATTTGAGTATTAAATTATTCTTAATTTTAAGAGAGTTCAAGTAAACTTAGTGATAAAACTTGTCAGAGAAGCAGTGTGTACCAAATACATTTAAAGGTGCCCGCTTTCTTTAACGTGTAGTTGGCAACTTCGCGATATTTTAAATTTGTGTGGGGTAAAATGTGGGGTAAACGCGATATAAATATAAAACTTGAATAAATGAAAAATAGAATGTAAAAAACTTTAGACAATAAAAAAAGATTACTCAGCTAGAGAATAGGGGACAACTGGCTAGGGAACACGTGATTTCATGTGTAATGCACTTTCAATTGATGCTGAAGAGATGACTCAATCTACTTTACTCTTTCCTGTCCTACCCTGCTCGTTTATTTACTAAATATACATGCCCATCATTAAATCCTATTCATTTACTTTTTAAATCATTATTGAAATCATCATTGCTAATATCACCCCCCTCATCACGCTCCACCCACTCATCTTCAATCCCTCATTCGGTTTCACGTCCTCTGCATCATCCCCTGTCGTACACTTGGTTGGTTTGCAACGCCTCGTTGATGTGAGTGTTATTTTTGATGTAATCGTAGATGTGATGGTAGATGTGCTTGTGTGTGTCGATGTCTGTGTAACCCATGTGTCTGTTGTCTGTAAGGATTTGCATTCTGTTGCCTTCGGATCGGTAACGGTTGTTGTGGTCGTCGTGGTCGTTGTTGTGCTTTCTGTGACTATTTCGTGCGGCTTCACTTTCAGTGGTTTTAGTTTCGAACATACTCCTTGTATCTTTTCACAGACATCTTTTAACTCTTTGCAATCTTCCTTAATCCCGCAATCTGAAGTCAATTTCTCACATCTTTCCTTTAAATCTACATATCTTCCAAATACTTCTGCTACCAAATCAAATGCCTTGGCTTCCAATTCTGTTACAAGTACATCCTTAACTCCTCTCCGCAGTATTTTCACATGTTTTGTGGTATCTTGTTTGTTTGAAATGGCATTCTTATCCTTGTTCTTGCTATTACTTTTCGATGTATCATTTCCATCTTTCTTAACGAGTGATAAAACAAGATTGGACTTGTTTATTGCTTTCTCTGCTTGTTCTTTAAGTTTTTCAAATGCTCCAAAATCATCTTTTAGGTCTTTTTCTTCATATTCCAGTTCTTTTGGTAATACTTTGCATTGCTCTTCCACCTCTTCCACTAATTTTAGACAAAGTTTCTTTCTAACTTCATCGGTCTTTTTAGTTTTACTTTCGGTATTATCTTTACATAAACTGCTGATTGACGCATTATTTACGTCTTTCAATACTGCACAATATCTTCCTAATGCAGGTTCACATTTAGTTATATTACTTAAATTTCCTCGAAGCTCTACTTTAAGAGCATCTTCTAAAACCTTTCTTTTATAAAATGGCTTACAATACTTTTTAAGACTTTTACAAAGCGTATCTTTTCCAAGAAGATCTGGGCAATTAGGTCCATATCTATCACAGTATGGATGCCAAGGAGGGCAAACCCCTGCTAATGATTCTAGTGTGTTATTAGTTTCAAGGAATTTAATAATATATATTCCATCTGTATTTTCTTTGAATACTTTGCATCTATCTTGTACGTCTTCTACCATCAGCTTACACGTACTTTCCAGAAAAACACATACAAGAGAAAAACGATCATTGCCCCTTCTAGACCATTTATTACACTTTTCTTTTAGATACTTTACACAACTTTCTTGGTCTTTCAAAGTATCCTTGTGTTCATTCAATAAAACTTGTTTCAAGATTTCTGTAGTTCCTAAACGATCACATTGCTGCTTTAGCGTATAACATGGCCATTGGATCTGATTTGAATCCTTTCCTAAAGTTTCACACTTTCTCCCTAATTTCTTGCAATCTTTGTCCGTCGGAAAATCTCGTTTTTTATCCAATTGTTTACGTAGAAAAACGGTCTTCATTTGATGATCGTATGTAAGTAATCGTGCTGCTTTTGCTGGTTGTATACATAAAACAAATAATTCATCGTTTGGGAAACTTCCCTTGTTTTTTTCTTTTAGTTCTTTGCATACTTTTACTAATTCTTGTTGAAATTTCTTAAGCCAGGTTTCATTTGAACCACGTAATAACCCACGCATATTTTCTTGCAATATATCATTTGCTCGTGCATTAAGCCCTTTTCTATAACATGTTGCTCTTATATTTTTGCATGCATCTTTACCACTTGGACAACTTCCTTCATAATAAAAACAATATGTTTCTAATTTTGCACAGTCTTCTTTGCTAATAAATGTTGGCAACTTGCCCCATTCAATGGTTTCAGAATTTCTTATATCAAAAAGACGATTATTGACTTTTAAAGTAAGAATTTTGCACGTTTCTTCAACATCTTCTTTTAATTCTTTGCATTTTTCTGTTCCGTTCGTATTAGGAGTATTATTATTACATAAATCTTCTAGAGCTTCATGTTCATGAGAGTTTTTGCATTTGTTTGCAAGGACTTCTTCGCATTTTTCTTTTTTAAGATCATTTTTAACCAACGACGCCAATAAAGCTGTTGCATCTCTTACATGTTGCTTTCCAATAAAAACTCCATCCTCCTCTGTCCTCTTATAAAGCTCTTCCAGCCCTATGTCCTCTGCTAGCGTAGGCTCTGGCCTAGTTGGATCAAAATCGGGTCCCGGATGCATATAAATGATGCTTTTTTTTTCACACTCTTCTGCCAATTTATCACAGACTGGCAAATATTCATAACAGTTTTTGGATGATTTATTACATTTTGATATATCTTTGCAGTTTCCTCTGTGAAAATAACATTGCTCAAGTAATGGTAGACATTTTCCTCGTAATTTATTCTTTTTAAGTGTTTCTTCAACTTCTTGTTTCAGAGTATCACATTTACTTTTTCCTTTTTCTACAAGATTTGCACATGTTTTCTTCTGATCAAGACACAACAATGTCAACTCATCACTTTCTTGGCCTATTTTTGAGCAAACGTTCTTGATTTTCTTTTTGCATCCAGCTTCCTCCTCCAAATCCCCACGAAGTGCCCTCAAAAGGACTTCTTCTGCTACACCATCACGTTTCTTCTGATAACACTTATTTCTCAAAGTATTGCAATCATCTTTAAGTTCTGTTGGACATGCTCCCTCCAAAAATAGGCATTGTCGCTCATCCTCTTTACAATCCTTATCTGGTAGATTTGCTAATTTTCCTTCTAGTTTATTTTTGAATTCAGTACATTTTTGAGTGATTTTGCTTTTCAATCCTGTACATTTTGTTTTCTGTTTTTTATCCTCACAAAAGTCTTTAAATTTGTTGTGAACATCTTTTGGTTCTATTGTCGCATTTGTTAGTGCTTTACAGTATTTTTCTAGTTTTTCTTTGCATTGTGATTCTACCATTGCGTCTTCTTTTAGAATCAAAGCCAAAAGATAATCCTCATCATCATATACACTTTTCACTACTTGTTGTGCCTGCCGCTTAACCGCCCGCGCCACTGCCCGCGCCAAGCCGTGCCAGATGGGGGTGGATTTGCGTTGTGGTGTGTGGCTGAGTTTGAGTTTCCGTTAATGTGTTTTGATTTCATGTGAGATGTTAGAACCATGTCTTCAAATTTAAGTATTAAATTATTTTTAATTAATTTTAAGGGTGTTCAAGTAAATTCAGTGACAAAACTTATCAGACAAGCAATGTGTGCAGAATATATCTTTAGTGTGTCCATAGAATTATTATGATACGTGCTTAGTACGTATTTAAATTTATGTGGGGTAAATGCGGGGTAAATGCGGGGTAAATGCAAAAATGTTTGGATAATGAATATAATGTAAAAAACTCTGGAAAAGAAATAAAGACTATTTGAAAAAAAAATACAGGTTAATTATGT